GGAGATACTTGTTCCAAAATGCTATCGAACCTGAACTTGTGTTTTAGAGGTATTGGCAAGTTCGTCGAAACTGATAAGTTTCCTGTTCTGAAGAGAAAACACAATAGGTGCACATGTGTAAATACGAACTGAATAAAAAATAGTTTTCTCAATCTTAGTAGTAGGTTTTCAGAATTGTGGATAAACTACTTAAAAAAGATGCTTTCAATATGTTCGAAACACAAAGACTTTACCTCTCCAGGAAACCATTAAATAGTATGTACAACCAGGAACAACAGTCTATACAGATAGCTGTAGAGTGCATCATTGTCTTCATAGACACGAATGTATTCACTGTACACAAGAAACATTTTGTAGACCCAACAACCGATGTCATCGATTCAGAGAAGCCGAGGTTAGTAGGGAGAAAAACCCAAACATATATTTGCACAGCATCATTTTCTGGGAGATTATCCGCAGTTTGAGTCAGGCGGATAGATGGCTCGTAATTTCATCCCATAGTCGATTAGTGTCCTGAACTTTGCAAACCATAGTCGAAACTACTATCTGTCTTCTCACAAACATTCTAACTAGTTCCCTAAAAACTAAGGAAGGTGAAGAGCGAATTGAACTACAGGCAGGAACTGACAATATTCCAGACTTGTCCATTAAAAAGTCAGCAGTAGCCGGTGTCTTGCCGACGGTTTTCAGCAAATTTCACCCTAAAACCACTCCCGACCGCTGTCAGCTAACTTAAGCTTACAATTTGACGGCCACCAACAACGATTACCATTTTTTAAAGTTGACTGGGTTAAAGTATCTAACCGAATTTCTATGGTCAACGTCAACGCCTCTTAAACGGTTATTATCATCTCTTCTAGCTCCACAAAATAAGAAACGCTGTGAGAAATTTCCAGAATTTTAGTGAAGTGGTCTCCGCTCGGTATGCGCAAAGGTGACAACTGTCTAATCTCAGGCGACAGCAGAGAAACACATATCCAGTATCTGAACCTTATATCAAGATAAATCTATTAACACTTTAGTAAATAAGCAGTAATGATAGTGGCTAAAAGTGGAATCCACGGCGCGCATGCCTTCCTACTTGGGTCTCGCCAGCCGGATATACATTCATCCCAGAATTGATGTTCGATGAGGGGCTCAAACACAGCACTGAATCGGACATTAACTCTGAGATGCAGGTACATCCAGCTGACAAGTCCAGAGTAGGACGAAACACGCGTCCTGGACTCTACTGATAGTTACTATTATCTCTGTCTATAATGCCTATAACTTAAGGTCATGTCAAGGCGATCTACACAGGATGCGTACGTGCCAATAGGAGACTGGTTAGTTTCAATCCTGAAGTCAATGTTAAGTTTGTAGTGGCATTTGACCATAACCACACAATCTTCAAAGCTGAACACAAGACTACTCGGAAAATAGATATTCAATATTTAACGCGAAATGCCTAACAATGGAGAAGGCGCGAAGAATGAATTGAATGAACTGGAGTTGATCGAGTGGCATGGCTCGGCCATGCAAGCGTGGTCTCTGCCGAATGTTGCCTTATATCTTCTATTCATATTAAATATATTGTTCCTTCTCTAGCCTAACCTTGTTCTACATCATGTATTGGTAATTGATACGATACAGTGAGTTGGTGTAGTCGATGGTGTGACTTCCACGTAAGATCTTATAGATTAGGCAGTTATATCACGACAAATCTACAATTTTAGGATTAGGTCTATTATTAGAGCAGTACTAATATCATAGTAGACCATAATTCTACAGACTGGAGTTGATCGGATGTCATGGCTCGACCATGCAGGCGTGGTCCATCTGAATGTTACCTTATATTTTCTGTTCATATTAAATATATTGTTCCTTCTCTAGTCTAAACTTGTTCTACATCATGTATTGGCAATTGATACGATACAGTGAGTTGGTGTAGTCGATGGTGTGACTTCCACGTAAGATCTTATAGATTAGGCAGTTATATCATGACAAATCTACAATTTTAGGATTAGGTCTATTATTAGAGCAGTACTAATATCATAGTAGACCATAATTCTACATTGGTGAGCCCAACTAAAGAAACGCAACCTATTATTGGTAATCCTTACTTCCACTTCAACTTTCTCGATCGATTTTGTATTTATGTTAACCCAGTATACTAATAGTCCTCTGAATAATGCTCACATGCAGCAAACGCTCTAAGAGTCTACTTTATAACAACTATAAAATTAATAAGTTAGAAAGCATGCTGTGCGCCAACAAATGTTGTAATTTGAAGATCGTGCCTGAGAAAATGGCGTGTACCTGCTCATGCAGAAATACATTATTATTATAGGTCAAATAATTTATTGTACGCTGACTGTGATTTGAATAATTATTATGCGAGATTTGATTACATATGTCGTGCAAATAAATACGTCGCTGCAAAAGGAAAGATATTGACACTTGTAGGATACACCTAGGAATTTTTGTTATTTCGTTAAGAGAACTTGTTTTCCAAAAAATAAATTTTTTAATATCCAAATGAGCAGAAAAATTGTATTTCTCACCATTCGTGACTTAATATAAAACATTTTTCCAGAGTAAATAAATAGCCGAAATTAAATTGACACAAGTTTAAATAGTACAGAGCAATAATTGCAAAACATTTTTAGCACAACCAAAACCATAATAAGTCTGAATATGTCAATGTCAAGTAATGTTTGGTCAAGGAGAATTTGTATGGCCCTTCACTACATTAATTGACACCAAAAATATCAAAATAATTCAGAAAAGCTTTTCTCACTACAAAGAGAAGCGAGCTGTCGAAGCGTTTCACATAGTTCTAAATTCTGCTGCCCCGAATAGGATAGAAGGTCGAATGTCCATCGGAACTAGACTGCTTTTCCAAACAACCACATTTAACCTTATTATTCATACACACACATACGGACATGCAACCTCAACCCACTACTTCGTATTGCAAATGCGTCCACTTTTCATCCCCACATTCTGACACACAAATTAATACATTATACTAGATGGGACAAGTGAACTGTTAACAACTTTGTATTTTCTACATGGACAACAAAAATATTAATATTCGAGTTCCAATAATAATACAGTGAAGTCACATCCGCCCTGTTTATGATGTCTCTAGGTTTGCCTGTCATATTGCTTGGGAAATGAAGTACCCTCATGAAAAACAAATAGAGGTTGATATTTATCAATTAAATGATATAGAAGAAACGGCCTTCACAGACTAAGTAATATATTCGTAAGAAATTATCCTTGGTCAACTTTGATTTCAAGGTGTTGCTAATGGTACATCGAGAAATCGTCTAGAGAGGTAAATTGAAAAGATATTCAAGTAATAAGAATGAATTGATCTTTCCGGAAGCTAGAATAACCCATATGGGCTTGACAGTAATAGAATCAACATCGTCTAAATAAGCGGACTACGGATGTCAAGGTGTGTGTCCGTAAAACTTTTGTATAATGCAGAAGCTTCGGCCAACAGCAATTTTTTGGCTGCACATAAAGCCTTTGGAATCTTTTCCATATCAGTGGATCAACGTCAAGATATTCGGCTCCACGATAGCCGGCTACCAAGGTCAGATATATACACGACTTGTTCTATAGGGATCTTGAAGCCTGTATGCACTATTTGTTTAGAATAGGCTCTCAACTCCATATAAATCAACCCAATTTAAGTACAGGACGTTCGGTTTTCCTGCTCTCACTTCCGTAAACAACACTCTGTAGAAAGGTAGTGAGTAGGACTTCCCTGACGCTGACTGTAAAGAATGCTTTATGAGGGCACTTTGAGCCGAGCGAACGTCCCACCTTCTTTCGTGCCGGGATATTCTGGCCTCATTTGTGGTGAAGATGCTACAGGTATTTCGAGTTTGACAACGCTTTAGCCAGTAACACCTAATATGAATCGCATCCATCAAGTGAAATCAAGAGACAGGAGCGAGGAGGTTCGAAGATATATTTGATAGGCTATCAATATATCAAGGATCGACTAATCTAATCTGGCTAGCGATTGCAGGGGATGTCGAGCACGGCGTTCCCTTTCGTGACGTGGTGTGGATGCATGACCGAGCTCCTTCAGCTAGGCGAGTCGATTAAAACTAATGTGGTCAGGATCCAATGCCGAAGACTTAGAGAGCTATTTATTTTTGGGATTTATTTACTGCTTCAGTGGGTTCTTTCTTATTCTTTTAACACTTGATTTCTACGTCTGCAAAAATGGTTCTATTTTCACCTAGTTCCCTTACCATTATTGAGGCATGTTTGTTTCATATGAATGATACTCGTAATTGTTCTATTTACTCTTCTGATCATATTGAAAATGACACAGGTATTCAGTGTTTGACAACGCTTTTACCAGTAACACCTTCTAATATAATTTGTACCCACCGAGAGAAATCAAAAGACAGAGTCGAGGAGATCGGAAGAGTGTATATATCGGAATTCTCTGATCTAATCTGGCTAGCGATTGCGTTAGATGTTGAGCACGGCGTTACCACACGTTATCTGGTGCGGATGCCTGGCCGAGCGCCTTCAGCTAGATGAGTCCATTAAAACATATGGTCAGCATCCAATGTCGAAAACTTACAGGGCTATTTATTTTGGGGATTTATTTACCGCTACAATATCTTTCTTATATTTCATATATTCTCCCCAGCAGCTTTTTGTTTAGTTAATAATAACGAGACGGATTTCATGTAACTAAACAAGTCTTATCGAACATTATTCGTCAAACCATAATTTATTGTGTTTATACAATTTTAATGTTGAATATGAACTTTTTGATCATAGTCTACTTTATCCTTGAGATTTGCATCACAGACATTGTGACTTTTTAATATGCGTATCTTGATGCTCTGAAAACATGTAATTAATGAAGGCTTGTCTACAGAGCTAAGCACAGAATGATACAGCAAATATCTCAGTGTACTATTGAACTAAAGTATGTCAGTTACACCATACAACACTTAAAATTAGGCGATACTAGGTATGACCTTGGAGTTTTCAGACTGACTTTTGACCAATGAGAACGGTCAAAATCAGGAGTTTCTCTTTTAAATAACATAAGAATCAAATGTTTATGTTTAAAAGTTTTCTAAAGGGGCGTCAACCCTTGGTTGCTTTATTTCTTGAAGTCTGGGATTTTTTCACACAACCGTTTGGAATAGTCGCTGAAATGACCAACTGAGACAATTGTTTCGGTATTAATGCTCTTAAAACAAAATAGTAAATTATTGGTGCTCTTCGTCGACTCGTATGACACCATCAAGTTTTCTATTCTGAATATAAAAAACGTGATGAAATTTTACAAAATTTTGTTTCATGTAAAATTTACAATGAAGGGAATAAACGTTGTGTTGTTTTGCTTTTACATTATGTCCCCACCGTACAATGCCACAAAAAGCCTCCAATTTTTAATCTGATGGGACTTAAGGTCGAACAAAGTGGTTTTCAGTGCTAAAATGATATTCAACATTATCGTCTAAAGTTCGTTTGACCCGGCAGTGTAGTAATTAGACACACTTGTCAGGCCTATTACTGAAGGGTTAAATTTACTATGATACTACTATGTAATCGAAATACCTAATGACTGAATGATGTTAAATACCGGTACTCAAGATGGACTATGGCCATAGTCCATTTTCATAGATGCAGTAAAGTGGATGAAAAATATGCACTGAGATCTAACAAGGAAGTGTTAGTAAGAAACTATGCGTAATTTATCCGTTTGAAGGCTCCCCTGCTAGCCTAAATTCTGTTCGCTTTCGTATGACTGTTGACTACGGAGTGTACACAAATAAGTATGATTTACCTTGCTAATCGAACCTTTAAACAACATTTCGAGAAGACATTTTTATCGTTAAGTTAGTTTTATAACCTGAAAGCTATGATAACTGGGCGGGTGGGAATCTGTCACTTAGAGCATCTCATAATTACAATACAGAATCTCTGTTGCTTAGTATATTCAAGCCTATTTGAGTGCAAAATTGACGTACAAAGTAAAGTTTAAGGGGTGTGATCCTTAAAGTACTATCACTTCAGTAGAAAATAAGACTTATTAGGTAATCTAAAATAACTCACCATGGTAAGAGATATATTTTTCGAAATTCATTGTTAGGTTGGAGGTGGATACATTACATTATGGTTTATTTCTTAAGTAGTTGATTCTAAGTACTGCTTTGCAAAGTAACATGGTCATGTCAGCCGTTTATAAGCAATTTTGTGAAATGTCTTCAACCCTTGATGTATTTCAATTATTTTTAGCACGATGACAGAAAATTAGAATAAGCTCAATAGAGGCTAATTAAAAAAATCTGAGTCTCTTGCTTTCAGTTAACGGTAAAAGATATATTCTTAAAGTCAGACTCTGACTTGGCTTCGGAGGTTACGCTCAACGTCCAATACTATATATGGGGTTTATACAGCATACAATTAGCCAAGCCAAATAGGGCCATGGTTTGTGCTCTAATCAAATAAGTAGGATCAATTAAACACAAACTGTGCCACTTTTGTTTTGTCGAAAATGTTCAATCTTATTTTAAAACTATTCAAACTGCAGTAAGATTATTATTATATCTGTAGGGACCCAATACTTCCTAAATAATGAAGATTGTGATTATCAGTCTGTTAGTGATAACTAGCCGTTTATCCCAATATTTTTCTTCATCCACCACGTTGAAGTACTTATTATTGCTCAGATTTCCTTTTTAGACAAACCTTAAATCTTAGCGATTTATAATCCGAATGTCTGAAATTGCAACGCATCGAACGCCAATCAGCATTTTACAAGAAGTGTGCGTAAAGAAAGGAATAACTCCGATCTACGAACTTGTGTCAAGTGAAGGACCGATCCATGAGCCACTTTATGTATTTTTGTGCACAGCCGGTCCATTCAGTGCCACTTCTAAAGGTAACTGGTTTACTTAGCCGTTCAGTTTTCCAATCAGGAGCGAGTAAGAAGAGAGCCAAACATCAAGCATCATATTTAATTTTGCTAAAGATGCTGAACAGCAGGCTTTTGACAGAGTCGGAAAAACATACTCTGCGGGATATACATATTGCCGCGGTCAACGTTCTAGGATCTGACTTTATGGACTCACTTGATGATATAGAACTGGATGGCCTACCAAATAAAATAAAACAGGAAGAGGAAGGTAACTTTGTTGGACAGCTACAAGATTTGTGTCAGAAAAATACCTGGCCACCGCCATCCTATGAATTCTTAACCATACCGCAGTCTACCCCATCGGGTAATGAATACAGTTGCAAAGTCAGGTTGTGGAAATGGACTCATACAGGTAAAATTAACATTTTTGTGGGAATATTACAGGATTTGGAAACTCCAAAAAATCTGCAAAGCGACGCGCAGCCCTAGGACTTTTAGATAATATTATCAAAAATAATCTGACTATACCTCAAGAGGCTTTGGATGATATGGAAGAAGAAACCCTTTCTTTAGTAAGTTATCGATGTCCTAATTTAGCAAAAACTAGCTTGACAAACAGGACCAGTCTGATCTGAAGGAAAATAAATTAGAAAATGAGGCAACTGCTCGTATTTCTTCCAAAGCTCTTCGTGGTTTATGGAATAGAAAAGGTGGTAAAATACGTGTTCCACCCATAGATAACCCTGATAAGGTGGATAACGCATGTGAATATCTCCAGGAGATTTGTGATTGTGCAAAAATTACTGTTGTATATACATACGTTCCTGCAAACAGTCAGGGTATGCCATTCATTCGTTTACTTTTCAAAATTGTTTGTATCTAATCAAACTTCAGTAAGTTTCGTTACAGAATAGTCTTCACTGACTTGACAAATTATGTAGTGACGATCTATGAATCAAGATAAGGGTCGCCGTTTTAAGCGAAGGGTGATGATGGTAGGCAGCCTTTGTAGCCCTTAAGTTCCAAACATAAGACCTAATAGAAAAGCGAGTTTCCACACCAGTTAGAGCAGCATAAAGGTTAAATGTCCTGATTTTGACTGCCAATATTGTTATCCAGTCTCCATCAATGAGTTCTTTTATATTAATGACCTGACACTACGACTATTTTAAAATGGGATATACTAGACTGTACTTTCTAAAAGGTCGGATTTTAGATGTCTTGAGCATTACTACAATTTGACTACATTAACGATATTTTTTCTAAACCAATACATTGGAATGTACACAGGTGTCAGCAAAATGGTTACAATTAATTAGTATGTTTTCTAAAAGTATATCGATTTGGAACGTTATTTGTGTAACTTTTGGAGTTACGCTATAAATATCCACTATTATTTTACGCTTTTTAAATTTCAAGTGGCGTTTAGCACAATGTCCGATTTATGAATGTTAAGATGTATTGATTATTCTACTTTACGAAATTCTTCAATTAATACTGAACTATTTATATACTTTTTAGGGATGATCTGCTGCTTTGCGGAACTTTCCACTCTACCACCACATGTAATCAAAAGTCAATTGTCCCCAAACCTGGCAAGTGCACGTAAAGATGCTGCTCGCAGATGTATACTATTTCTAAAGGCTATGTCATCTACAACACCTTGTCTTAACTACAGTGAATGGTTTTCTGCTTCTCCTGATAATTATTTGAAATAGATTTAAGTAATTAATTCTATATATATGTACATACATTTGCCCATCTTGTTTTCGATTACGCTCGTGAGGATCAAATTCAAGATAATCTAGGGCAATGAAAAAAGTATATCTCTTGTAGCAGAAATATATGATGACCCTTACAGTATAACCTCCCTAAAATGTTTCACGGTGCACTCTGAAGGTTCAAATGGTAAGATAAGGGATATTTATGAATATATATTTGCAAGGATAGATCTTAGCAAGCTGAAAAAAATAAATACAACATTTTACTTTACAATTTTAATGTTAGAATTCGGTCGATGTGCCATTTTGGTTACTTTGGCCATGGCCATTTGCTGTTCATTTACTTTCCCTTTCTTCGGGGGATTAAGTTGTTTCGATCTTATCCTCATTAGTTTTCGACGATGTCGCCGACGGTCAGCAAGAGTGCGCTCATTTTTACCAATAAGTATTTCACCTCTTGGTGGGCAAATCTCTTCTGGAGCTAGGAGATTGGCTGTTGAGACGACTGTGGGTCCAGGTTCTTCTAATTTTGATGCTACATCATTCTTAGCAGACGTGGAAGCGGGTATGTACTAAATTCAGAATTAAGGTAGAAAGGCAAGTAATAAAATAAGCATTTCATCATATTTGTTAAAGTGGAAGAACCGCAACATAGAAAGTATGGTTAAAAAATATTCCTTATCAGCGTGTTTCATAAGTTTTCAGTCTATCAGTTCATCTGTAATAAATTTCATATTACTAAATGCTCACGCACATACTTGAACGTCTGTCAAAAAAGTTACTATCAAGACCATTTCCGTTAACGAAAGTTGGAAAATATAATCATATGTGATTACATTTCAAATTGGAAGGTCTGTATATGTTGAAGGTAATTAGCCATCAGATATCTACCAAGCATTACTTGCGTAATGTATAACTGCTTAATAAACAAAGATGGTGTTAGGCATAAAGTACTAAGGTAATAAGTTATTAAATTTTATTCTTAACCAGATGGTCTGAGTGAATACTCTTCTGACAACCTTTATTTGGATGGAAACAAGAGGGTACTAAGTTAACCTTTCTATGTTATGTGTGAGACACAAAGATTCTGGCCAACCAGGTCAGCAATAATTGTTTGTCCAAAAACATGAAAAAGGATAAACAATGTGGAGATCGACGCTAATGTTTATTAGTCTTAATTATCACACTACATCAGCAGAGCGAGAGCATGTGTAAATAATATCAACGGTAGTGGTAAAATACTTCATGAGGAATAAGTCAAATCAAGGAGTAAGATGTGTGAAATAACTTAGCTCAGGATTTACAAGATGTAAAATGCATGTATCTGTACCACTCCGACTATAGACTATGCCACGTGACGTCTCCAGATGAGAAGTCTGAACTTTTTGATATATATATATATATATATATATATATATATATATATATATATATATATATATATATATATATATATATATATATATATATATATATATATATATATATATATAGCGATTCTCTGGGTTGGTGTCATTTCTTTGCCTGGCCGTTACTTTCCAATTATCTTATATGATACCCGGTAACCCACCACGAGATACTCAATAGCAGGTCGTCTTGTGACTAGCTTAGTCGATGAAGGTTCTCAACGGATTTACCACTAGTACCCTACACATAGTATTGCCATTAATCACCTCGTTCTAAAACTATGCGGGAGCTGTTATGAATGCAATATTAACTGACATCTATAGTAGATCCCCCAATCAAAATCCCACTTGTACTATCTGGTCTATAGCCTAACGTCTTAAGCTCTAACCAAACATACTCTTCGACTGGCAAGGTTAGTCTTGAGTTGCGGTTGAGGTAATGTTAGCTTTCATTCGGAAGCCGATACGCACTTCTTTTTCCATCTCATCCTAAGTTCCAATGAGAGAACACTGCAGACGAACTTCTATTACCAAATTTCAGACAGCCAATCTTTTTAATTCGAACACTCGGCTTGTATACGTAAATTATCATACCCAACACATTCTAGATAAGAGAGCATCCTTCACAAAATCAAGTCATAAATCCCCGAGAACGGAGCAAACGATAAATAACTAATTAACAACAAAGAATGGCAAGATATATTACGTTAGTTAATTTGTTGAACGGAACGTAGAAATATAATAATCTGTTTGATAAGTGCGATAAAAACAAACAATATTGGTCCATAAGATGGTTCCGAAAGTTATAATATTCCAAGCATTCACGTCATCACAATAGGTAAGATCTATATGAACAATTAGTAGCAACATACATGTCCTTAATATTTATAGACAATACTTCACACTTGTAACGCACTAGAAGCTGAAATATAGCACATCATATGTACTCTGACAAACAGAACATCTTGCCTGCACAACATATCTCAAGGCCTCTAAATTATTAAGTTAGTTTCCATATTGAGATGGACAAAATACTAAACATTTTGGAAACCATGATAATTGAAGTAATCCTTTTATCGTCAAAAAGTACACCCATAGGTCATTTTAGGCTACCACAAGGAGTTTTACGTGGGTCTTTAAACAAAGAGCAGAACAGTTCTGTTATTTAGCTGAGATTAAGTGAGTGATCGCACATGTCCTCTGTATCTGCGTTTCGGGCACCATACAATAATGGGACGAAGCTTCAAAATCTTGAACAATAAGACTTACTTCTACAACTGATAGAATTTAAGCATTTTGAAGTAACATCAAGTAATGTGTAGAGTAGTTCTAAGAAATCACTAGTGACGTATCGTAAGGATGAGTTGTTAGAACCAGTGAGACATAAGGAATATGAAAATACGTAAGAAAGTTTGGTGATAGAAAAATAAGGAGGCAAAGAAGAGGTCTCAGAGTCAACAAGAACTTTAGCGCTCCTGAGGATATGATGGTGGTTGGTTTTCTCAGGTTTCTAACAAATAAAGGTATTTATCGATAGGGAACAATCAGATCAAAAGGTGGTACTGTTACACATAACTTATCTATGTTAATAAACAACAGTGACGTCGATCTTGCTTAATCCGAGTTTACAATTTGAAATGAGAGAATAGTCAGACACACCTTATGTGGCACAAAATGCAGACTAGAAAGTCTATCTAACTTGTCGAAGAGCTCCAACATTTCAGCTTGGATTGCATTCTTTTGAGGGTCTCCTTGGTCTTCCTCAAGAATCTAGAAATAAGATGTCAAATGTAGTTTCTACCTGATTTCTCTTGAGAAAACTTTCATACTCCTCTACCAGTGACTTCTGAACAACATTTTGTAATGGGATTTCCTTAGAAGGACCTTTAACTTCCTTAACTTTGAAAACAGGACTGTCAAACATCTGGAAAGAAAATCACTACTTAGTATTTCACTAACTCTTTCTTTGATGGCTTTTATAATGTAGTCATTTATAGCAGCTTCGTCGTGAACATCTGGCTCTAAAGAAAACTTAGAATGTATAGCATTAAACTTACTGAAAAGACCGTGGCGTTGTACGTCAAAGTGTTCTTCAAGCAAGGTATTCTCATTTCGTCTAGTAGCTGCAACTTCACCTTGTAAATACCACGGCTTTACATCTAACATTTTACGTTCCAATGCATCCGTCTGTTTATCAAGCTGTTTAGTGCGCATTTAACTAAAAAAAGCCACCATACCTTCTCTTGAAGAAGTTCGAAATTATGTCCGCTGTTTGCTTTTACCATCCTCATTAAGTGAATTAAATGAAAAATATCTAAGTATTTCGTCAACGACGAGGTTGAACTTCTGAAAGGTAAATGAATGCTTCATTTGAAACGTGTTGCGTCATAACGAGTTTATGAAATCGATTAAAACCTTGCATCACTTGGTTTAACAAGGAATTATTAGAAGATACATTTGGTTTACTTTGTTTTCTGGATCTTGTTCGCAATTAGAGGATGATGACTATTTGGAAATCGGGAGTGATAAACAATATTTTACCAAAGCTATACATGATTTCTCAGTAACTAACCTACATATGTCCTTAGAAATTCATCTCCATTCAGTTAAAAGGCTTAGATTCATATGATACTGGAATATATAAGGTAGGCTACACACTCCAAACAACTATCGCAGGACTTCGAGTGATTTTGTTATATTATGAACGGGGCCCTTAAAATTATAAGTTGGGCAGCTCTGGTATGAGACGTTACAAAGCGGAGTCCAGGATATAAATCAGTTTCAATTCTATCAGAGTTTTGTACTATCTTCGGAGACAATCGAATTCCTTTTCTAACAAAACAAGATATTTCTTGATCATACTAGTACTTAAACTATATCGTTTAATAAGCACTACCGTTGTTTTATACGATTGTTTTATTTCCAACTGAGTACTTTGTTATATAGTCATATCGTTATTATATTTCTAGATGATGTGAGACCAGCTATTCGGTCGGAAACAAGACTTAAATATTCAAAATTCCAACTCAATTTTAAGACAGGATTTATGAGATGATGGAACACGTTTCGTAAACTAGTGTTTAACACTGGTCTCATGCAGGAAATAAAGCTATTACCAGAAAAGATGATACCGTAAAGCATCAAAGTATGGGAGGACACGAAAGTCTTTGGTATTAATCAAAATGTGGACAGTCAGATTGTTTCTTCCCTGTGGGGGAAGAAATGCTATGTGACGAGTGCAAAAAGTGGTTCCACAAGATGAGTACCCGTTTAAATCCTATCGCGTGCAAAAGATGCTCGAAGCACAACTCCCGTAGGTCTTGCACGTTTTTTTTTAAAGTAAGACATTACCGATTCAAGAGGCAAGTAGCCTTCTGGAATTAGCCAGCAAGAAAGTTTATGAGGGCTGGACCGGTAACATGAGTACTGTTAGCGAATGTATTAGTGTAGTAAATAATGTTACGGAACGAGTCAAACACCCGACTGAGAAACACGCAAAGTGGAAATCTCTTTTTAAATAAAGAGTGAAATGCCAATGGATATTGGTGGTCACGATTCTACAGTAGTACCTGATAACCCAGATAAAACTCTCACCGTCATAAGTAGTCCTGGCTGACAGGAAATGGGGGC